TCTGCTCTAGCAGATCCTAGGAGTTTGTCTAGATATATTTAAATAAATAAATAAATAGATATATATATATCTATTTGTCTAGATATAGATCTATAATATAGATCCTATTGTTTCTCTTATTCTTTTATTTTTCTTATATGTACCCATTTCATGTATTCACAACTATGTATACATTTATACTTATTATCTTGTAAACAATTGGCAAATCAAATAAATAAATAAATAAATAAAATATAGTACTCCTCTCTGTGGTTCATTGGTCTCCAGAGTCCCTGCACCATGAATGGAGTGAAGCAGAGGGATGGGGGGGTCACGGTGGTAGTATGCAAATACTGTATGGCAAGGATAAGGGGAAACAAGGGCATCTGTTGCTCCATACAGCCATGGCTTTTCTTGATTAGAAGAAAGATGGAAGAGGTGCAGGAGTCACATTGTGAAGCATATTTTACAAGTTTCTGATGAAGTCCCATATATTGCTTACCTTATGAAGTATTTTGTTGTTGCAGTTCCAATTGCAAAGGTAGAGTTAAAACGTGAGGCTGGGAAACTCTGCAAGAGCTCTGAGAAAAAAAAGTGTTGTTTGTCAGCCCTTAATTTCTTATTTTCCCTAATCGTTAGGTATTTCTTGTTTTTACAGTGTTCACTGCATGCTATGAATGAAATATGTCCTTTTTATTTAATTACAATATTATTTCTATGATACTTTTTAGGCCTTAAAACTAGTCTACAAAGTGGCTTACAGTTTAAACAAAAACAAAACAAAAAATATTTGTCCTTGATTTCTAGACATGGCAACAAAGTGATGATGTTTCATGCCACAGTTTTGATATATGCAAGTTACATTTACTGGCTATATGCCAAATTATACACAATGTAGACAGATCTGAAACAGATTTTCTACTCTTTGTGAAATGCACTCATAAGAATGGATCACTAATTTCTTTAGAGTGGCAATAGGAGAGGGAAAATATTTAATATATTTAAAAAATGGAGGGAAAGTATTACATGAGGTAAACACAATCATTAGTACCCTTGGCAATATATGGATGACCTTCAGTTGTACTTTTTTAATTATATGCTATGATTGGCTTTGATGGTAGCATAAAAAAAGACAATGATATGAGCTTTCCCATTTAATAAATACTGAGATTTGGCATTCTCTCTGCAGAAAATGCATTACACCATCCTTTGGACACTAAGAAACCTAAGGTCTGCTTTCCTCTATTTCTAAATGCTTCGTTTTCTCTCTTGAACAGTTGAAATGTCTCTGTCTTGATTTTCTTTTTTGTAATTGCCAATCTGACATTTAACTAATGCAAGAGGATTAAGTATGCCTATTCTTTTATTTGGATTTATTACTGAATTGAACAGAATCATTTAGGGGACATTTAGGCCATGAAGTTCAACCACTGTCTCAGGTCAATTTTAATCCAAATTACGGCATCCCCAATAATCTAATCTCTGCCTGAAACAATTCAGAAAAAAATAGTTCACCGCTTCGCTGAGTAATTGGTTTCACAACAACAGACTAAAGATAACCCTATCCTATTCTAATGAATCCAGATAATATTTGTTGGAATAGTTGGCAAAGCTTCCCATTAACATACCTTTTGTTCACTATTCATTATTTAACATTGAAATGTTATTATTTTGATAGCTTATACATATCTTTGACATATGTATTGAGAAACATTAATATTCATGACAAATATAAATTTAAAAATACAATAACACGAAATGAACCAAAAAGGAAACTGAACGTCTTGAACAACCTGACAATCTTTATGAAGATATTGCTACTAAAGAATAGGAGGAGGAGCCATTTTAGTGAGCTATTTTTAAATGACCTTCTTCTGTTTCATTTGTGGATAGAACCTTCAATAAAAGCAGTTCTCTGTTCTTACATTTTATCTGAATTCAATCCATGTGTCCTAAGTAATAATAAAAAAAAAACAAAGCAGTCTCACTTCCAATATTTTGGAATAAAGGAAAGAAATCAAAATACAGTACATTATCAATTTCTTGAGCTGATAGTTCCTATTCATTATAAGGAATTAGATTCAAAGAAAACTACTACATAGTTCTGCTAAATATTAGATCTTCTGCTGCCTGATGCACTTCTTTGGAAACAAAGAGAACTTCAAAGTAGATTGTGATGAATAAAACCTACCATAAAATGAAGTCTATGGAATGTTTCTGTTCAAGTTTCTAACCAGCAAGCAATGATCTTTTCCAGAATACATCATTCATCCCTCTCTTCTTCATCTTACTTTATCATCCCAATAGTCAGCTAAGGTTACCAATCATATTGTCCTCCTTAAAACTTGTGGTGCTTGTCCCCATAATTTTTTCCTTAAGTATTGTTTTTAGTTCTCTTAATTGTGGGCTTTTTAAAATTTACTATCTCTTCCTCACTGATGATGCTACTTTGGCTAAATAAGCAACAGGACACTTACTTGGACAAAGGAAACAGAATGGTGCAGGAAGGTGTTCAAGGGAAAATGTCAAAGCTCATATTAGGTGTCTATGCATATGGATGCAGCTAACGTAAAATAGATCCTACCTAAATAGATTTTGTTTTGTGTTAATAGTATACATTTAATAAATTTGATTGATGATGGTGATGGTAGTCATTCCTTACTGTATTTATCCTGTCAAACCTGATATATAAAAATGTGAAATTCACAGACACAAGCAAATTTACCTATTCCTCTGACCCTACTGATATTATCATCTGGTAGACATTACAAAGCACCATATAATGCCACAAATAGCTGAGGATATGGCCAAATAATTTCTTGCAATGAACTGAACTTGATTTTAAAAAAAAGAAAGTAGATATAAATATTGCATGGGATCAACACATACAAATTCCATTTTTCCTCCAAAAGCATGCAATTAAGTCTACAAAATGATATAAGAACTAACATTAAATATCATAAAGTATTATGGAAAGGAACATTAAGCAGCATCAGGGGCTAATATAGCAAATCAAAGTGCACTTCAGTAGAGATGTATAGCCAATTATATATTCTGAAATCAGATATACTAACTAGAAGCTATTTGTGCTTAAACCAGAACTATCTTTCAACACATTTTTCTCCGCTTCTAAAACTAAAGGTGAGAGACCTATATTTAAATAAATGAGTATAATAAAATCCTTAAAATTGATTAGGTTATTAAAAGTAAATAAAACTATATGTCATCTATAAAAGATACACAACAGGCTTTTGTTTTAATTCCATTATTTTTCCTCACTGATCACAAGATGATATCTTCACAAATTATCTTAGGGAGAGCAATTCTCCTTGAACTAGCAAACAGCTCACCTGTGTCTGTCTGATATTCCATAGCCGCAGATGTGTACTTGAGAGAAGATGGATATACATTTCCCAGAGGACTTTTTAAGTATTTTTAAACCAACACTTCATCATCATTATTTTCCAGGTCTGCATCCTTTTGTAATAAATGTTTTGGTCTTGATCTTCAATGCTGTACATGCTTTGAAAAGAGGTTTTTTTTTTTTTTTTTTTTTTTTGCATAATGCTAGGTCATATGCAATAAAGAATTATTATAAATCAACATTATATGATTTATTCTAATAAAAGCAGAGGGCAATGCCATCTTTTCAAACATTCTATGCAGTTGTACAGGTAACTCATTTAGAATTAATTCCAGATATCAAATTGCAAGAGATGTGGAAGATTGGCAGGGGAGAAATTCTTTTGCTTTGGTCAAACAGGTTTGAATTATAATGTGAAGTACAGTTATATTAACTTTTTTCTTCATGATGTGCAGTCATCTCAAATTTTGCCCATCTAAAAATGGTACATACAGAATAATGCTTAACTTCCACAACTAAATCTCTTAGGGATTAATGGCGTACATTTGTGTGCATGTATGTGTGCGTGTATATGTGTGTGATTTATCAGAGCAGCAGCTTTTCTGTGGAAACACAGAAGTTGGAACCATCTGGAATGGTTACTATAGAAACAGCAGAAGACTGAGGGGAAGAACGGATGCTATGACAACCTTTGGGAGTTTCCCAGGAAACCAAAGTTGCTATGGAAACTGTACCACTCAGGTCCAAATTAGTAACTTCCGCTGCAAGGCGTGTTTCTCACTTTAATCTTCTTGTGATAGATGCAACCGCTTATCTTACATGCATTGGACATTTATGGAAATACCTCTTTTGCTTTTTGTTTTTTGAAGCTGCAGTCAAAATAAAAGCCTGCTAGAAATTTATTAAAAGCTAAATAATTCATTGTATTCAGATCATCAGGATATGATCCAGTCAGTCAATTGTTCAGTCTCACTGTGTAGGAAGAATACTACAATACCCAAGTAGCACTTCAGATTCGAAATTGCAATTCTTTGGGAATTCAGGAATCAAAGAAATCCAAAACCACAACGGAGGCGTTTCCCTTATTGTATTAAAGTGATACGGTGTATGTTATGGGCAGATTCAGAATACACATGGCTCTAACCTTTTTTAAAAAATCAAGATTGCAACCTCGTACATCAGATCTTCAATTGCAGCCATCCTATTATAATGTGAGATAGTTTGTGGCATTTTTATCACCTTATTTTTCTCATTCACTGGAGCACAGTTACATTCATTATCCTTACACTCCGTTCCTTTTCATCCAACAAGTGTATACGTAAAAAAAAAAAGAAATCAACAGCGTAGCTGCTCTTTATAAAATCTGATAAACACATTTCTCCCTAAAATCCCAATGCCCTGAAACCTGTGCAGAATAAAAACCTGTTTCCAAAGGGAGCAGCAACAACACATTCCTTTTGTTAGCTTATCTACCTTCTTTCTTGATATCTCCTTGGTTCTTTGCTCTTCGAAAAAAAATATTCTATCCTCAGGAGGACCAGAAAAGTTATATGGACTAAGCAAGAGCACAAAGACTGACAATGATGGATGTTCCTCACAAATACTGATTACGCAGACTTCCTGTTATTTTCTTTCAATCTCTGCGAAGGGGTGTCTTTTAAACATCCGTAAATATTTTTTTAATAGTCACACAGTTGGGATTGTTTGTGCCGGAGCAGTTGTTTGTTTTAAAAGCAGCCTGTTTGAATGCACTGTTGCTGATGCCTCCCTCTTCTATCACCATATACTCTGACTTGCTGAGAGTGGAATTACTACGCGCTTTCTTCAGCTCCTCCGTGGAGGAGAGGTGCTGGCAGCTTCCTACGTGCATGTACTGAGCTTGTTCTTCCCCTTCTGTTTCTCGGTGGTAGAAGTAGTTGAAGTTGGAGACAATGACTGGAACAGGCAAGGCAATAGTCAGCACACCAGCGATGGCACAGAGAGATCCTACTATTTTTCCTCCAATAGTGACAGGATGCATGTCCCCATAACCCACAGTGGTCATGGTTACCACAGCCCACCAAAAGGCATCAGGGATACTGCTGAAACTTGAAGTGGGGTCATCAGCTTCTGCAAAATAGACGGCACTAGAAAAGAGGATAACACCAATGAAGAGGAAAAAAATGAGCAAGCCCAGTTCCCTCATACTGGCCTTCAGAGTTTGCCCCAAAATCTGCAGCCCCTTGGAGTGCCGAGAGAGCTTGAAGATACGGAAGACTCTAACTAGCCGGATGACTCTGAGAATAGCCAGAGACATCGCTTGCTGACCATTCCCCTGCCTCTCAGCCAGTTCAGTGCCCAAGGTGATGAAATAAGGTATAATGGCCACAATGTCAATTATGTTCATAATGTTCTTAGAGAAGGTGGGCTTGCTGGGACAAGCAAAGAAGCGGACAAGCAGCTCAAAGGAGAACCAGATAATGCACAGAGTTTCCACCACAAAAAAAGGATCAGTGAAGGAGGATACCACAGAGGTAGCTGGGGAAGAAGTATTGGTGAAAACATCATTCACAAAAGGACTACTCCCAGCCCCAAATGTTCCTGCAGCACTATCATAGTCACGGTCATCTCTGAACTCAGGTAAGGTTTCTAGACAAAATATTACAATGGAGATGAGGATGACTAAAACAGACACAATAGCAATGCCCCGAGCTGGTCCAGAACTCTCTGGGTACTCGAAAAGGAGCCACACCTGGCGCTGAAACTCCTTCTCAGGCAGAGGTCTCTGCTCCTCGCGGATGAAACCTTCATCTTCTCGAAATTTTTCCATGGCCTCTTCACCTAACTGATAGAAACGTATTTCTTCCGAAAAGATATCAATGGGCACATTAACGGGGCGGCGGATACGACCTCCAGATTGGTAATAGTAAAGGATGGCATCAAAGCTGGGCCGGTTGCGGTCAAAAAAGTACTCGTTGCGAAGAGGGTCGAAGTAGCGCATCCTCTTGCGGGGATCGCCCAGGAGTGTCTCTGGGAACTGGGCCAGTGTCTTGAGCTGGGTCTCAAAGCGCAGCCCTGAGATGTTGATCACGACCCTCTCACAGCACTCATGTTCCTCTCCACCGGTGCCCACTTGGTGATGACTTTGGGGGGGCAAGGTATGGGCAAGAGGGTGGTCATAGCGCTCCCCTCCCAGCAGGGCATGGGGATGTTGGGTTTCATCGATCGGAGGGTCCTCTCCACCTACTACAGTCATGCCACCCTCCAGCTCCCCGTCCTCCTCTTCTTCTTCCTCCTCCTCCTCTTCCTCCTCCTCGTCCCCGCCGTCGCCCTCCTCGTCTTCCTGCCCTTCCTCAGGAGCGGAAAGTGCGCCTTCGGGGAAAAGCTGTTCGCTGTAGCCCAAGTTATGATGGCTGCTTCCCACGACGCCGCCGACGCTGCTGCTGCTGCTGCCGCCCCTCGAATGCCTGCAGGAAGACGGGGCGGCCGGCGAGCGCAGGAGGCTCAGGTGCTCGTCCATAAATGTGACAAGAGCGCGGAGGGGAGCCCGTTTCCCCGGCGGCTGATCAAGCGAGACCCCAGGCGGACAGCCAGAGGGACCCGCCCAGCTCCAAGGCCACCGCCCGGCTCAAAACATCCTCTCTGAGGCTGGATGCCGCCTCTCCCGCCTTTCCAGTCACTCCGTCGGCGGCGCCGCCATCGCCCACGCGGTTGCCCTCTTGTAAGGAGCGAGGAGAAAGAGAGGAGTGAGGGGAGCGCGCTGTTCTGGAACGAAGGAGGGGTCTCCTTCCCCGCGTCTCCCCTTCGTGAGAGCCCCGAGCAAAGCAGCCTTGCTGGGCTAGCAGCAACAGGGAAAGACGGCGCGGGCTCCCGCTTGGCTGTTATACAGGTCAAAGCAAGGGAGCAACACGTTACTGAGAGAGCAGGCGCAAGAGGGAAAAATGCAAGAGTCCATCCCGTGGGCGGCGACTGCGATTGTAATCCTTACTTTGCAGTAAGCCCGTCTCGCTGCCCAGAAAGGGTTGCCTCCAAATATAGGCGCGCAGGATCGCGCTGAAGGAAGATCGCCCTTCCCGAGCATCGGCTTCGTTGCTTCTTAAAAACCTTTCCTTCCATCTGGGGGGACGTTAGAAACAACGAGCGGTTCACACCTCCGCGGAGTTGTCTTCTACAAGAAGCTTAGCCCAAGTCCGCTTGCTACCCAGCAGCTGTAACACAGTAGGATCTGGTTGGAGACAAGGACGATGAGGCGTTTGTCCTTGGGGCAGCTTCTTTGCAAGGTTTGTCAGAGCTGGGTGGGCAGGCAATGACCCTCGCAAGGTCACACAGTCTCGAGGATGTGGGGAGGGGGAACCCGTCTTGCACTGCAGGCTGTCTCCCAGCACATTGCTCTTTCGTCCCCCACCTGTTACAAAAATATGCTTCCTCCAATCAGCATCTTGGTTTGTTGGGGCTACTGCCTCTGATCCATTATCTCTAAACGATACACGGATCGTTCAAAAGGTTGAAAGTTGGTTGCTGTCTGGCTATGTTTGCACAACCCATTGAATCAGAATAGAACAGCCAAAGATATTCTAGCCTGATGTTATTGTAAGAACCAAGGCTGTGTGATTAATTTATGGTCCAAACACAGTGCCTGTGTCACCGTATTGTAGATAGCTAAAAATACATTGTTGTGATGGGAAGGCAGTCTATTCAGAATCCTATTTTACTCATGATTAACAAGTGCATCTTTTGTCTTAAAGGTAAAGACTTCCCGAGTTGGGGTCTATTTTTTTGTAACCATGTAGCTGTCTTAAAATCCATTGCCTTGTTCTTAGTCACCAAAAAAAGTATTAACCAGATCTAACCCTTATCCTTTCAGCTATCAGCCAAAGTGGGCTAGAAACTACTATTTAATGTGAGTTTTTTTGCCTAAAGCCTTTGTAATAAATGCCCTGGTTTTCCTCACATTATCTCCACATTTGGGATAAAAATAAGCACCCACAGACCTCTCCTGTTTTTTAGATTAATCGCTATAATTGGTGAGAACTTGTTGATAAAAGAAAAATTATACACCTGACAGAACTATTAATCTGAGAGCATGGAGAAAAATTATGATATCCATGACTACCAGATATGTTCTAGCTTAATAAGGAAAGGTAGATAAGAAGAAACAAGATAAATTATATAAAGTGGGGAGAAAGTGGATTAGGAAAGGTGGATCTCTCTCATAACACTGAAACATGAAGAATGGGAAAAGCAAGACAAATTCAAAACAATGTTAATTCAATTTTAATTTTACTTAAACAGAGAAAATCCCTATTGCAAGATAATAATGATTGCTGCTACTGTGACTATTTTTAAGAGGGGATCAGACACATTCACAGTGACTAAGATTAGAAGTTACTAGTGGTCAGAATGAATGTAAATTACCTCCAATATTAGAATTGAAGGTCTCTTGATACAGGCAGGTAGGAAATATTGAGATTATGTTCAACTGGTAGATGTCCTTTAGAGTCAGGGTCGCCAACCTTTTGGACCTCGGGGACCACCAAACTCATAATTTTAGATCCCAGGGACCACTAACCGGTTCTGTGGGCATAGCCTGATTTGTGGGTGTGGCTTGGTGGTCATGTGACTGGCTGGGCATGGCTTGTATGTAAATATTATAAATATTTATATAAGTATTGATTTTTTTATTTAAAAAGAGCAACTTTTACCCAAAATCAGGCAAAGCAGTTGCTCACAGTTGCTCACAGAATCACAGATTCAGTTGCTCACAGAATCACAGATTCATTCAGAGATCTATTTGTCTGCCATTGGCTAACTCAGTCTGTCACATAAAATTTGCTTGCAAGCAAACTCATAAAATTTGCTAGCAAGCAAACTCACAAAATTAACTCACAACACCCCATGCATGTAAATATTGAATTTTTTTTATAAAAAAGAGCAACTTTTACCCAAAATCAGGCAAAGCAGGCAGATTGAGTTGCTCACAGAATCATTCAGTGATCTATCTATCTGCCATCGGCTAGCTCAGTCTCTCAAATTTGCTTGCCATGAGTCTGCACTGAATTTGCTTGCAAGCAAACCTTCAGTCCTAAGGGAGGTTCGGCTGTGCTGAGCCGAAGATCTAAAGACTAGCTAGGAAGCAAGAAATCAACCATTTCTTGCTTCCTAGCTAATCTAAATCTCCCGGCACAGCAGAACAGATGATGGTCGGAAAAAGGAAAAACAGCAATTTAGCAGGCAAGTTTACAAGGTAAGGAGTGAGTGGGCGGGAAGCGTTCCTGCAGGCCACGTGGACGGCACAGCCTTGTGTTTCTGCGCAGCCTGGATTAATTGCTTTGGGGGGGGGGTGCTCTGGGGGTGAAATTTCTCTGCAGCCCACCAAAATTTTCTCACGGCCCACTGGTTGGCGACCACTGCTTTAGACCCCCATGGGAACAGAATGGTGGAGGGAAGTGGCTTGCTGAAGGCTTTATCCAGCACCTATACTGTTATCAAAATTCAAATAAATAAAATGAATTGGATTATCACAGGCTATTCTCAGTTTCTTGGGATTTTAAAGAACTCTAAAAGTCAACTGGGGCAGGTCTTACCTTGACAAATTCATGTCGATTCTTCAGTAAGATTTGTTTTTCTCTGTGTTTGATCATTTATCTTTAATAAAGCTTTCCAGTCGTAGCAATTCAGAACAAACCATATGTTTACCAACCTGTAATTTCCTGGACCCATTCTAATTACATTTTAAAATCTGACATCACACTCAACATCATCTAAACTTTAGTGTAAAGGCAAAAACCAAAAAGAATGAATTGTCAAATTCAGTCAAATTCAGGTCAAATTGCATTGATTCAAGATGATACTATTCCTTCAATAAGAACCCTCCCACAATCTGTCTCTTCCTTTGGCTTAGTCTGAGAAGATATGACCCTCTTCTCCATCAGAAGACTGGAAGTGTGATCATCTTTGCTGCACACAAACGAATTAAGGACCATCAGCATCAAGTATCCCTATCATGGGTTATATTGAATTTTCCCGATAGTATTGTAGAATAAGTGTCATGACTGCCCTGAACAATATGTCTGAGTTACACCAGCTTTTTGTAGCCTAGGTTTTTAACTCTGATTACAAGAACAAGTTAATATATTAAAAGGTCATTGTTTTCAATGAATTATACTCTGGAAATAAGAAACAATGGACCTGAACAATCTCATATCGCTTAAATTCCTATTTAACCCGCATACTTGCGGATAAAGATACAGTCATGTAATTTGAATAAAGGTAGTCCTAAACTTAAAGCCATTCATTTAGCGACAGTTCAAAGTTACAGTGGTACTGAAAAGAAGTGACTTATGACCAGCCTCTGCACTTACCATCGTGACAGCATCCCTATGATCACTTGATCAAAATTTGGGCACTTGGCAACCAAACACCTATTTACAATGTTTGCAGTATCCTGGGAAGGTCCATTGGTGACCTTCTCAGCTGGTTTCCACCAAGCAAAGACAATGGGAAAGTCAGATTCACTTAATGACAAGACAGGAACAAAGATTATTAGAACTATGGAGAATAAATCCCATCAGAGAAAAAAAAATGAAGAAACTAGACAACATCAAAAGTTTGAGAGAGAACATGATAGCACTGTCCATGGACTTAAATAGCTGTAATTAGAAAGGAGCAGTAGAAGAGCTAGTAGTCTTACTTTATAATCAGGTAGATTTCTCCTGAACATTATGAAAAAAATCATTCTTAACAGTTACAATCAAATATCTAGCAAAGTAGTGAGACTTCTTTTGTTTGGAGATTTTCAAGAAGACCTTGGCTATCCATTAGGACAGCTAAACTTTGCACTGAGCAGAGAGTTGGTGAGAGTTGGGAGGGGAGAAGTAGGTAATATGGCATTAGAAGCCACATATGAGGACATTTCTAGATAGACCTTCCATCAACCTGGGGTGATAACATTGCACAGCAGACTACTTCCCAGCCAAGGGAAAGGACTGAAAATAAAAGCATCATTTATTATTATGTCCATTAAAAAAACATACACACGTGCAAGTTGTTCTGCTTCCAATGCAAAGATCTAGTTGCATTTATAATACTTGAATATAGAGTAGATCTCTTAATCTGTCCATTAATGAAGGTCAACAAAAATGTATCTTTTGTTTATTTTCCATGGCATCTTCAATAGGGAAGAAATCAATGGAAAATCCTTCAGATGTAGGAGCAGTTCTCGTTTTCTCTCTCTCTCTTTCTCTCTCTCTCTCTCTCTCCATGTGTGTGTATGTACATGTAAACATATTTATACATCTGTATATATCTGTATGTACATACATACGGTACATACATACATACATACATACATACATACATATACATAATATGAACTGAATATATATGGATAGGATTAAACTGATGTTAATTAGATACAGAATACATTCTGCATGAGCATAATGCAACTTGTATTGTTGATGTCAGAGAGATTGCACAATAAATTCATTTAACTGGTTAAAAGACTGAAAGCATTTAGTTTAA